GAAATTTGGGAAATTTTGGAGAATTTAGATTTAATTTAGTGTAGATTTACCTTATTCTTCGTACACATTTTCGGTACATTTGGCAGCTTAGCTAAAAAATTGAATCAACGGCCTAGCAATGTGGATCAACACCCTAGCAGTTTCTTCTAAACGGGAGCTTAAAAGTGAGGATAGTAAGAAGTGTCCCAGCGCATCAACTGACTTCAACTATAAACGGCAGCTGCAATTCGTAGCCACACTTCTGCGGTAGGTAGGCTGGCAATTTAAGCCCTACACCATCCATGCTTCTTGAACAACAGGTTCTTTTTGCCTTGCTAAACAGTACTGAAAAAAGTGACTGAATGTAATCGCATATGTTCAGAATTTTATATTTAGGCTGAATGTTGATAAATTACTGCTCATACAGTTCCCGCTACATTATTACACGATGGTGAATCGGGCGAAACTCATCAGCGTTTGCACGGTTACGTGGGCAGTGATCACTGCCTTGGCTATGGCTGTTTATTATTTTATGGCTTTCATTTCCGAACCGGTAGAATTTTGTCACGTTTAATACGTTTTGTGCCAATAAAAAGTGCAATGTAGAGGGCCGATGCTTGCACGCATATGCTGAGGGTATGTGTTTATATTTGTCGGGATATCTTCACTTTAAAATTCTGAAAACTGGGAGCTTTCGAAGTAGGCAGCAGTGTACAGAACAAATGACCAGAAATGCGCTTGAACTGCGCCTTGATCTAGAGATTTTCAATTCAAATACTGTAATTCGATGATCGTTACTGAGTATTCTAGGGAAGAATAGAGTTTAGCTTGGTGGACATTGCGAAGTGAGCAACCTGTAGTCAGTTTTCAGAACCCGTTGTTTTTTGCCTGCAGCCTCAGGTCTCCAAGTCCAAGTCAGTTTTATTTTTAACGAAGGAAACTAAAAACAAAGAACTTTTAGATTTTAACTGCAACATAATATGGGTCAAATGAAAGGGAATTAAATTCACTGTAATCTCACCTATTAAGTTTTGCCCAAACATATTGTTACTGTAGAACGAAGAGAGCTCTAATGCTGGCCGACCAAATTTAACAAACTCCCATATACTTTGTTCACTGTGCGCCTGCATCTACTTAATACAGTAAACAGCAGCACATATCTAGACTAGTTGCGTTATTTTTTCGTCATCATGGTTTTTTTTTTTTTTTGATTTATTTTCCTGACAGTAATGTATTTTTATCCGTCTTGACGAAATTTGTGTCAAAACGGATAACAAAACAAGCTAATACAGTAAGAATCATTGACGACGCGCACCGTGCAGGCCCATGCGATCATGCGTT